AATAATACATGTTCTGTAGCTGAAAATATAAGATTTTCAGACACTGGATGCATCTGTTCTACATAAGCCATACATCCCAAAATCTGCATATAAAAAGGAAGCAGAGCAGTAATCCCTCACTTCCTGGAATCCCCAAATATTATCTTGGTTTTTCGCTTCCATGTGCTAGGCTTTTATAATTATCTGTTCAATCTAGTTTTGCATGTCACTTTTTCAGCCAAGTGTTGACATGACTTTGCCAACTGGGATTTCCATTGCTAGCAGTCTTACAAGCTTTATTACATTAAACACAATCTGCAGTCATTCTAAGTTACGAAAAAATAACTTAGATACTCTTTGTCTTTTTCAAGGAGTAACTGGGTGACCTCTTACAGAGTACTGGTGAGCAATGACAGTCATGCATGGACTGCTGTCAGAAATGAATCTGGAGATGTGGTGAGTATCACAAAACAGACGTTTTATGAAGAAAAGCAGAGGTGGGAAAGTGGGGGCTGTCCACACAGGGCTTTCATTTGCCAGATTAGTCAGTATAAGACTACAGGGCAACATCTCTCAGTGGTCCTACTAAATTTAAGAGCAAATCACATCATATAGAGCGGAACCCAGAATACCCTATGCGACAAGTCTGCCTGTGTCTGCCTATGGATGTGAATGCCACCATGGCAGAGGTCTTGCCCATCGTAAGATATGTTTCTTGTTGCATGGCCTGCACAAGGGCTATTAGCATCAGTCTGCTGGTTCCTGGGGACATCTCACGCCCATAAGATGCGTTTTTTATTGGAGAGAGGGTGTGGAGCTCTGGCTCCTTTGTCCCTCTGTGAGGCGCGTGGGGGGATTGTGCTCTTTGAAGACCAGTTTTGGCCTGAGCCACCATCAACCAGGTGACTTTATTTGTTTCTATTACCGAAAGTGCTAAAAGACTTTTTGAAGAACTGATCTTGCCATATCCGTATGTTTGGCCTACATAGATTTTTGAAGGAAACAGTGAGAAAGAGATCCCAGTTCTCAATATGTTGCCGGTGCCACTGGTTGCACGCTATATCCGTATAAACCCCCGGTCCTGGTTCGAAGAAGGTAGCATCTGTATGAGACTGGAAATCTTAGGGTGTCCTTTGCCAGGTAAGAGTCTTTCTCAGTTGATGTTGACGTGTCTGCCTGAGCCAAGACTCAGAAATTCTATTTGCTTTGGATACCTTTGCTTTTGATACACTACCTGTCTTTAATGAGCAGAGTTACGCAAAAAGAAACAAAAATACCTGTCCACATACATGGACAGTATCAGGATAACTCTTCAAATGCAACTGTGTAGTATCTATAAGTGGCTTTATTAATAAAACAAAATTGCATGGATGGTCTAACAAGATTTTCTCTGTTGTTTGGGATGAAGTGCAGTGCAATTAATCTTACTGAGTGCACGTGTACTGGGGAGTCAATAGAATTATGTATCAGAACAGGTGCTTGCAGAAGTCTTAAGCTTCTAAGACAAGAAAGAACCATTATAATTATGTAGTCTGAGTTTTAAATATTTTTTTAGAATTTTTATTTCATTTTACAGGCCGCAGGATTTCTCTGAATTAATGTGAAGGCAAATGCTGTGACTGAACTGGTGCTTATCTTGTAGGGGGAGGGAGGAGAGCTGGGGATGTAAAGAATTTTTAGCAAATTTCAAATGTTATTGAATCCAGCACGATGACTGGAAATTCTCAGATGAAGGTAAATGGTCCTGTCCTTGGTAAAGACTGGAAAAGACACAACCTGATGTTTGGCATGAGCTTCAGGTGTTAGCTGTTTCTCTTATCACACAAGTGCAAAATACAAGTAGATCTTTGCTAAACAGTCTATACAAAGGGAAACCTTATACAAGGCCACTTAAAAAAAAAAAAGGACATTCAATACTGCAATTTATGGCAAAGCCATGCTTCTATTAAGCATATTGTAAATAGTCTTATGGTGGATTTGTGTCTACATATGTATGTATATATATAAATATTTGAAAAAATATTTGTTCAAACCTTTTCTAAGTTGCCTACTACTCATTCCACATCATTCATCTGTTTGGGTTTTTTTTTTCCTTTGATCTTAAATTCTGGCACCTTGGGGATAGCTCTGTCTTTTTTTTGCAGGGGGCTATGAATAGTATTTTCAGGAATACTAGAGCCAGAAAGAGAACTGCCTTTCCAGAGCCTATCATTACTGCTTTAACTGTTCCTGCTGCTGTACAGAGAATTGCGGCCTCCAATTCCACTGTTGATGTAGGGTCTTCACATGCCAAGCAGAGGTAGCCTGATTTTTGTCGTTTAGATGTATAAATACTCATGGAAAAAAAAAACAATCTGGGGCATGGAAGGGGTAATTCAATGATAAAGAGAAGTATGGGGCAAGCAATGCCATAAAACATAGAGTGTAGGTGTATTACCATGAAGCAGTGAAAGTTTGCTGTGCTCAGACAACTGCTTTTCTGGGGGTAACAAATAGATTCATGGCAGTGACCATGATGACATGAATATTCATGTTTTCAGTAGGATTTTTATTTATTTCAACCATAGATTTTGAAAACTCCATCTCTGTGGGTTGCTTGTTTCCCATTGTACCTTTTACCTGGGAGCGGCAATTCCAGAGCCAGTATTTGCCCTCAGGTCTTGAATGAACAAGCGGGCTGTCAGAGAGCAGTGATCGCTCCCAGATTCCTGCATGGTTTTGCAGAGGATCCATTCTCTACAACACTGGGTGTGAGGCTGTAGCTTTCTTCATAACTATGACTTTACTGGCATACAGGACACACATGGCGGTCTCCAGGGAATAACAGAGATGACAATCAAGCCATTTTGGAGACTAATTTCTAGGGAAATTCTCACAATCCTTTTCTAGTCTGTAAAACTGTACTTAAAGAGGAAAGTGCAAAAATGTCAATATTTGGAAAGGTGGTTTTTTATTAAGTGCAGCAGGTCTTTACACTAGACTCTTATTGGGTATACACCCAAATGGGGCCCAATTCTGCTTTGCAGTGTCAGCATTTGTCACCCTTCAGCTTCACGGGGCTGTATCAGTGGGTGAAGGTGCTATCGAGCTAAGAACACAGCCACGCTTCCACCACTGTTGCAATAAATGTTTTTACAGCTTGTTGCAGGTCTTGGATTAGCATGGAAACAGCACCAGTGCTTCTTCCTGGTAGTCATTTATTGAGTTAATTGCCTGCGGTGGCTGATTCAGTTTATTCCTGAAAGAAAATACCAGAATCATTCATTGAGAAACACAATGGGAATGGGGTGTGTTTATTCAAAATGTAATTGGACTGAAAGAACTAATAGGTTTTGATAAGCTGCTGACCCGTCTTTTTGGCTCAGAAAGAACTGACATTTCTTTCTTCTAGCTCATTTTGTTCATCGCACGCAAGGCACTCAAAACAAAGCTGTTCCCCAGGTTGCAGAGGCCTTTCCATGCACGTTTTCTTCCTGTAGGGCATAAGTTATTTTTTGCAGTTCCCTGTAGCTGGACTTCTTCACCCTTCATCGGTGTCATCTTATTTGTTCCAAGTCAGGCAACTGACTGGTTTGGCCATGGGTCCAGCCTCTTTGATAGCACTGCCAAACACTGCATTGACTGTGCAACTGGAAATCAAGGGTTCTTTTCTGACAGAGGATTCCTCCATAAAACTGAGTGTCCTAAAGTCATCAAAATCAGGAGGTGGAGCTCTGCCAGTTCACGCACCTCTATCCTTTCCAAAGACCCATGAAAAACGTTATGTGATGCTCAGTTTCCTTGAATACCTGGAGTATTTTTATTGTATTTGCACCTTGAGAGTGAATATGCAGGAAATCAAGATGTCAGGAGGAGCAGCTCTGTCATGTTTTAGAGCTCCCCTGCACCGTGTCCTCCTAAGGCAATGGCAAAGCACGGGCAGATGGGGCACTGCAAAATATCCCAAGAAAAAAGTGGGTCTGAAAGAGAAGGAGTCATTTTTCATGACTGAATTTCTTTTCATGTCTTTTAAACTTGTAGTGTTAGGTTTTATGTCTTTATTAATCCTTGAATAAATTAAGCGATTTGCATTCAGTCTGTACTCTGTATCAGCTTTCCATCACGTAGGCTCACAAGGGAGGGTAAGAAAGGAATACCAGATGAAGAAGAAACCTGAATAAGATGTTAATATTCTAAGAAAGCCTGTTAGCACCGGCAGAATGTGATGGCAATGGTTAAAGACAGCTAGGACCCACTGCTGTGGGTAGGGCTGTGTTAATCAAAACTGCTGCATACGCTAGGTGCACTAAAAGTTGGACAAATTGTAAGAAAACCCTATTTAGATAATTACAACAGAGAAGTTACTGATTATCTAATCAGTATTATATAAGATGATTGTAATTATTATCAGTGAAATGCTTGTTTGTTATTCATAACATACACTTTTGTTGTATTGTAGGCTAGTTTTGACAAACAACTTTTTCTAAACTGTTACAGTAGCTGTACAAAGAAAGCTGTTTTATCCAGCTGTGTCAGTACCGTCTTCCAGGCAACAGGAGTGATTTGCTGTTTCACCAAGGGAAAAACATTCCGCTGTGGAGGAAAGATGCCAGAAAATCCTACCTATAGCAGAGGATCAGTGCTGCCATTTCTCACTGGGGAAAAAGAGGACAAAAGCACCAGCACTTAATTCCTTCTCCAGTTTCCAAAAATGTTGGTATTTACATAGCTGTCGACTGACAAGCACAATCTTTCGCAATTGCCTCAGAGGGATGGATGTACTTTCCTTGCCTGTTCTTTCTCAAACCTAAGGAAAAGCAAAAAGAAACTGCATATGATCAAAAGTACCCAGAGACAGGAGAGAGAAAATTAGCTGAGCTCTTCATGCATTTATTTATACTGTAGAGTATTCAAGGCAATAGGCAATTATTTTAATGGAATAAATTTGTGATGAAATTTAATTTTTAATAATTCTTATATAGAAAACTATCATTGGTGTCGTGATTATGCCATCACTTTCAACCCAAGATAGAAAATGAGCTTTAACTACTCTGTAATGGAGTACTGTGTTTTGCAGTGGATGCATCATTCAGTCTGATTTTCATTGCTTGTCTCTTACTGCCAGGCTACCTGGTTAAGTCTAGAAATGTGCTCATTTTGTACAGAACTGTGACTTTCTACAAGAATCTTCCATTATAGGTGATCGTGTATACAGCAGTACTAAATTCAGCGAACTACTTGTGAGAGTAAATTTTTGGCTTAGACAGTCTGTCCTTGCGTTCTGCTTTTAACATTGCAAAGCTAAACTTAATCTTGGCCAATTTAAAACTTTTTTGAAGTTTGCTTGAGCAAAGACGGAATAAAAATGACACCAAATTCAATAACCCTCCTGGGAAAGGCCAATTTACTATGTTTCTCCATACTCATGAAGACAGATGTGTAACATCTGCCAGCATTGCAGTGGGTGTCATTAAAAGTTTTTCTTTCATATTTTATTTGTACAATGAAGTGTATACTATTCCAGAGAAGTATTACCGATCGTCAGAATCACTGTTATTAATAAGATCACACTGGAGGAAATAATTAGAAACATCAAATGTGGGTAGAAAACCTTTAAAAGCAACTACTGCAGGTTGTTTTTTTCACACGTTATTATAGTTTATTACACTTTACTGGAAATTAGTTGAAGTTAGAAAAGAATCCATATGTAGTTGCAGAACATTATTTCACCGTTGATTTAATGTGTGATGTTAATGCTCATGACTGTCATGAAACAGACCATGTGGAAAAAACCTTGTGATCACCTGATATGTCTGCCAGTGGATTTTTTTCAAGGTTACATGTGTGCTGTCTGTGACATGTTCAATTTTGTGAAGACAAGTCAAATTCACTTATATTACACCGAAATGAAAAAACTCAGTCATTTTCAAAATGGCACGTTGAGGTTTTTAAGACAGTCTAAAGGATTTAGACCAGACTATTCTTTTTATTGAAAACTTCTCTAAATCACTTGGAATGACTTCATGTTCTTGTCGATTTGGAGTATTTTGATTACATTTTTTTTTTGTGTTGATTCCATCTTCGGGTCATTGCAAAGCTCACTTCATACCTTTCCAGTAAAGAACACTGAAATCTAAAGGAGGAAAACAAGACCAACACACATTATTGTCAGCATAGTAACTGGAAATGCATCAGGGCTCTACTGCTTAAGGAGCTGTGTAGAGCTGTAATATAACAGAAAATCCCACTTATCTGTCAAACGGCTGAGCAATCTGTCCTCTCCGGTACTTTTTATGGGCAGTCCTCAGAGCTCTCATGCTGGAAAGTGGTTGGACATTTTAGAGCTTCCTAGTCATTTGTCTGTCTTTACAAAGAGGAGAAGTATGAAGTTAACAAGCTACTTTCACCTGCAAACTTAATGAAATATACTGGTAATATAAAGATAGATTACTGGCAGAATAAACTAATATATTCCTCTGTATAAATGGGAGTGTCATACTTCTGCAGGATCTTTTCTCCTTGGAAGAAAGAAAGACTGTCTGAGGTAGTGCCATGAATAAACGAGCGCATTTCAACTCTAATTCTTCTGTGGTTTGAGTTTCTTAGTCTTTTACACTCTGTTTTATTAAAGAAAGTAATTTTTGCCAAAGTGGATCTAACCAGATGTGCACAAGACTTGTATGCCTTTCTGTATTTTAGCTTTTGATTTTCCAAGCAGACTCACAGTAGACCCTGGCGAAATAGGAGTGTTAATTCTCTAGGCAGCTGTCGAATTGTGCACTGCTTTTGAGGAAGGACCAGAGATACGATCATTCTCGCTATACAATTTTTTTTAAGTTTCCACCACCTCTACAGCATTCACAGTCATTCCCATGATATTGATGTTTGATGTATGGAAAAAGCGCCAGACGTTGAAAGGAATGGGATTAAAGTATTAGGAAAAAATATCTGTTGCTGTATATTTTGGCTTGTGGTGATAGAGAAAGCCTTCAACATCCTGGTAGTTTTATGACATTTAGTTTTATATTTTTACAGCAGAGGGATATTTTTACAATGCTGAGGATATTCTGTGTGGCATTAAATACTTTGTCTTTTTCGAGAAGTAGGTTTTTTATGATTTCCATTTCTCAGCCGTCAATATATTAATGAATAATTTCTATGAATTAACATGAGTTGCCTTTTAAGGGTCTGGCATTCCAGAGTCATCTGCAGGGTTAGTGCAGCATCATTTTTGTCAGTGGACTTGCATCAGTTTAACCTGCAGTTACGTTGGAAAGAAGACCTAAAAATGCAGCTGAATTATGTGAAACTTAACCCTCTTGATTCTTCAAAATATTTTTTTCCAACAAGCAAAGAAATCTTTCCTTATGTGATGAGGCTCTAAGTCGAATCCATTTCCAGGTGATCTTATTATAGAGTAAGTTCTCACTGGAAAGCACAGACTGCATTGAACAACCAGATTTCGTTGAGGCAAGATGGTTTTTTGACGGTTTTCAGTCATATTTGTAAGGCAGTGTTCAACTGACCTTCCAGTGTTTCTGCTGTAGATTAGGGAATGGAAGTGGAGAGAAACATGTAAATGAAGAGTAAATAAGTGCTACAGAACATGGGCGATGTTACAGTGAAGCTTAATGGAACTTGCAGGTTTTATTTCATAAATAAATTCAATAGTTGAAATTTTTCTTTCCTTCCACATAAGAAAAGAAAAAATAGAATTTTATGGGAAGAACAAATTTGAGAATTTTAAGGTTTTAATATCAAAATTATGAAGCTTACAAATGTTAAGTTATAAGGTCCTGTCAAGTGTTATGAATTTTCTATAATTTCATTAAGTGTCTGTTGTTGCAGGATAGTACCTACGTATTATTCCAACTAATAATTACGGTCTCCCTCCAACCCCCAAACCACAACTGATAGGTGATATTGTTTAAAAAAATAATTTTTCTTCTCTAGGTACATTGTCTTTTGGCTGTGTCACAGTAAGACAGGGTGATATTTATGCTTTCATATTTGGCTTTCTTTTCCAATAATTTTAAACCAAATGAAGATAATTTTGTACGAAGGGAAAAATTTTTTCATAAAAGCCTGACAAACCACTGGTTTGACAAACAATTACTCAAAATTCCAAACTTCTCAGTTATGGCAAATTAAGGAATGTATCCGATGTTTTCCAAATAGACTTGTTTGTCTCCAAAAATAAATCATAATAGATTAGGTAAGGAGCACATATATCAAGAAATATAAAGCTGAGGTTTTTTCCAGGTGAATGGCCTGGAAAGTCAAGGAAACAAAGATTTTTGTTCTCTCCACGTATTTTCCCTCAAACCACACGAACTGTAAGTTATACCCATATAGAAATGAATATGCTAATTTTAAAGTAACAAAGACCTCCGACTTCCACAAAAAAACGTTTAGCAAAATAATCAGGAATGTTTAATATGCACAGTAGATCCTTTCTGTATTTTGCAAGCAGTGCATAGACTCTGAAAATACTCATCAAGAAAACTAAAAGATAGTAAATTAATGAAACAATTGCTGGGGCTTTTTCCTCTGATATAAGTTTTTTTCACTCCTTTATCTTGCAACTGACTCATCATTTTCCAGGGTCTTTTGCCCTCCTCTGTAACCTAAGGATGTCTTTCTGCTTTTCTGTTGAAGTTTGGTTTTTCATGCAGAGTAGCTGCCAAGCAAGCCGATGCCTGCTGCCTCCTTGCTTCTGTTTGGATCTATATGAGTTGTTTGTACAGTAATTAGAAATATTTCAGATTTGTTGTTTCTTTGAGTTATGCTTTTGAAAACCTGTTTTAAATACATATAGGACAGTGGAATTCAGATTTCCACGTTCCTTGCATGCATTATATGCTAAGCATGTTTATGTTTGAAATTCGTAAAAATTAATGAAAATTATTTTATTTCTTTTCTCAGACCCAAATAATTATTATCACAGAAGAAATGAAATGACAACCACAGATAATCTGGACTTTAAGCATCACAACTACAAGGAAATGAGGCAGGTAGGAGAAGAGGCTGGTGTGTGACCTTCTGAATGGAAGGTTGATGGGTGCAGGCTTTTGAGCTCTTACGGAATCCAAATTCTACCTATTAAAAATATTACTAAATGATGTCTGCAATCTATTTCATTTTTTTTTAATCTATTAAAAACAGCCATCTATTAAAATCCCAAAGTCTTACTCTGTACATCATCTAACCTTAAACAGGTGACACTACATGACAGAGGGAGTATTTACACATAATGTGCCATCATTTTACTTCCGTGTGTATTTGAGCGGTGAATGTTACAGTGGTTTCTCCTTTCACATTTAGCCATCAGAATTCTCCTAGATTTCAGTTGTTTGGGATGATCAAAATAAACTATAAAGAGTCCAATTCTGTATTCACAGTTGTGAGTATTAGCAAAAACTCACCAAAAAGCCACTATTACAAAAATCCCGTTAGTATAATTTTCAGTCTACCAGCCTTATTAATCTTCTTGCTTTAACTTCAAATAGGCAACCTTGTAGTTGTTTTTGTTATTGTTTTTAATCTTGCTTCATATCACCACAGGCATAGGTGTGGGTTGTCCTAAAGAAATATTTCTGCCTGCTTCCTCTTCAGCTATAAAGATAATATGTTTGGACTTGAAGTGCGTGAATCATTTGCTGTGTGCTGAATTTTCGGTGTATTTATACTGCATGAATCACCATTCATTTTTATTGAGCAATTGTGTACTGAGTCACACATTTATTTCGGTAGAGATTTCGCGGCCTATATTTCTTAGCACAAAGATTAGACAAGTAGAAACTCAATTGGCATAATTACTGTCAAAAACAATAAAATAAAGTGTATTTTATATTCTCATTGCAGAAAGGCAGGTTGGTCAGGTTAGAAATATCTTGGGGGAAAAAAAAAACCTGCAGCTTTAAAACAGAATGTTTTTCCACTTGTCATACAAGTAGAAAATTTTTTACTGTGGCTGAGAGCTGGCCAGTTGTGAACTGTCTTTGACCGTGCTCTCCTAATTTCTGGTTTTCTCTTTATCAAAATAATTAATTTATTTAGACCTCATTGGATTCTAAGTGGATTCTGCAGCTGGTAGGCAGAAGATTGCAGGTTGAGTTACAGTAAGTCTTAGATCCCCAAAACTATTTTTTTTCCTGAGTGTGAAATGGAACAACAACTTCAATATCCAGAGCCAAATTAAGGGTTTTTTTTTAAATATTGTGCATTATTGTCAGCTTTGTTAGCTACTTCTCTCCCAACCATGTTAGAAAAACGCTGTTCTTTGAAGTTATTTTTCATAAACGCTGAAGGAGGAGGAGAGGGTATGCCCTGGGCCAGGTTTTGATGCATTACATTACATAGCAATATGTCGAGTATTTGTGAGAGGGAAGGATTTTCTCATTGTGTCAGATTATTTTAATAAACCTCTCTGTTTAGGAAGACGAAATTCATAGTACCATTTTTTTCCTTTTCAAAGAGCATTCAAGATTCTTCTTTCAGTCGATGGTAACACTTGGTATGTTGTATGCAGAACTCAGGATTGTCTTACAGTCCAAAATATTTACATGAAGTATTCATGCTGTATAGGAACTTGTAAAAATGGTTGATAACTATCCCCAGACATAGTTCGGGATGGACATTTCAGTACAACCTTGTCTTTGAAATAACAAACCCAGATCATATCTTTCTTAGGAAACAGGACTGTTAATCTTGAAATCCATTTAACTGGATGTGACAAGCAAGATTCCAAGCACCCCTGAAGTCTTGTTGCTCTTTGTGGTCAGCTGTGTTTATGGATGTGATGTCACAATAATACAGAACATTGAAGAGCACTGTATACATTACCAATTGAAGAGGTTTATTTGAGGGTGAAACAACCAAACGTAGAAGCCTAGAGTGATACACAGCAAACATCCTAGGTTGCATGCAATGCAGGATGACAGCCTCTATCTGATAGCCACCAAGCTCAAGAAGGAAGGAGTTTCTGGTTTGGTTCACAGTGGGACAAGAAATACAGAGATCTTGGTAGTGTTAGCTTAATATTGGACTCTATGATCTCAAGGGTCTTTTCCAACCTAAATGTTTCTATGATCTCCACAGAGGATAAAGAACAGTCCTAACCTGAAAGGCATTGCCTGGGAGTGCTTTTGCCTCCTCTACATGTAGATGGCACTTAGACCTACATTTAATACACCTTTTCTGCAAAATGGAGGAACTGGACCTTCAAAGACCAGTTTTGTGGGGCTTCTTCAAAGACTGCATGCAGTCTTTTTCCAGGGTGCTAATAGGGTAAATAATTGGTAGTGACAAACAAATAGGAACTGTCAAATACGAACTGTTAGTGAGCGTGATTGTGAAAGTGTTTTACAGTCCTGCTGGCTGTTAATAAAGCCCTGCCTGACTGTTATCATCAATTGTCTTTGACAGTTTGTACAAAGCGCAGAGAAAACACTGTGACATTTCAGGTGACCTATTGTGCTGTTTGTAGGAAATGGGTATGAGAAAAGCAAATATGGAATACATTCATTTTCAGTATTGTATTTACATATAAACATTTAAATACATTACTATATCCATACTGTTATCAAAAGAGCCACAGTGAAGTCTACTACAGAGGCCCTAATTCAGGAAAGGTTCTTTGTTCGCCTCAGAAAGTAATCACATGCTTGCAATTAAAGAGATGATGAGGAGTTTACTGAGGCTAATACAAATATTTTCACTGATTATAATATACTTTGAACTTGGTTCTAGGCATGTTTCTCAGTACTAATGAACATTTAACATCCTTTTAACCACTTTCCTAAATCGATGTTCTGGGTATCCTGTGTGGACTGAAGTGCCAGGCACGTTGGGAAAGCTTCTTCTCTGCAGCTGGATCTCAGAGACAGCTCTGAGAGGACAGGCTCATCTTCCCTATTTCACATCTTGCAGAGCTGCATGGGTGCGGCGAGATATCAGCCAGGGGGGAGTTTCCTGCAGTTTGAAGAGGGTGTAAGGAGAGGAATTAGTAAACACAGGTCTGAGACAGTAATGTTATTTATACATTACAGAAAGCTGTTATTATCCTGGTAAAATAGACCTTTTAATGCAATATCTGTACCCACTGGCAGAGTGAAAAAAAATAATATTTATCTCTGTTGGAGAAAAATGTGGTATCTGATCCAATAATAATCCGTTTCATCCTCTTGTCAGTAGGACATAAACTAATTATCCCCACAGAGCAGACCTTGGATAACTTTTGGTCTGTGAGGCTCTAGCAAGAGGTGCATAGCTCCATATCCGTTGATAGTACTTTGGTTCATAATGAGCAGGTTGACCGTGAAGATTTAGGGCAGTCTGTCTCAAAAAGTCAGTAACTGACTCATTTAAATCAAACACAGATGTAAAAGTGCCCTCTGGCCTCACCTCTGTGTTTCAACTGGGACAACAAACGGTGACATACCCACTTGGGAGGTATGAACAGAACATTAAAAGAGTTCCATGGGAATAGCTGGGTACCCATAATACCAGCACACCGATGATGATGATGAAAGTGGTGAAAAAAAGTAGATATGAAGCTAGACAATACACTGAAAGAGCATAACTGACTGTATTTTTCAGGCAAGTGCTGATTTGCAGAAGCAATTGTTTCTCATATGTATAAAACCAATGTGTGAGATGAACAAACGTACAAAAATAGCATCTTTTCAGTCTCTTTGCAACATGATTATAAATAGAAGTGAAGCCTTTTATGAGAGGAATTTTAATGATGTTCTTCCCAATGTGAATTGTGTTTCTACTTAGATTTGCTAAATGGTGGCATGGGAATCGGACACATCTAATTATTGCATTTTTTAAATCATCAGCCTCGTGAACATCCAATATTGTTTCTAAATTAACACTACGTGAGGAAAGAGTTTTGTTATGTTACAATATTTCTTCAATAATGTATGCACCCTTGTTTATGAAAAGATTGTCTAATTAATAGTCGCTAGGGTTCCAATTTACAGTAAAGACCTTATTCTTTCTTTAATGTCTTCCAGTCGAAAAAAAATTGAGACAGACAAATTAGAATCATAGAATGAATCATAGAATGGTTTGGTTTGGAAGGGACCTTAAAGATCACCTAGTTCCAACCCCCTGCCATTGTGTCATTTAAAATAATTTCTGATAACTTCTTGTTATTAACACGTAGATTTACAGTCTTGTTTGTAAATTTTAACATTCATCTGAAGTAAAGTATTTGTTTGTGGGACAGTTTAGAGTGCAGGTATACTTAACTGGATGACATCTCTGTAACTCCGTTGGTTTCAACAGAACTATACCTTTCGTATGGACCTTAGTAAGCACTAAGGCTATTTCATTATATTTTGGCTATGTCATTCAGTATCTGCAGAAACAGTGAACAGAGTAGATTTTGATGGGAACAATGTCTGCAGATGGGCTCTTGGCATTTCCGTGATTAGATCTACTTTCTGCCGAAACTTAGTAAGCTAATTCTGAGGAATCTCTTATTTACTGAAGGAGTATATCCTGCTTTGTTTATGGAGTCATCCATATGATATATATTCACTGTTTTGCCCACACCAATGCTGCCTTAACTAATGATTTTCCCATATGAGATTTCCCATTGTAATACAAGAAGGGCGGGCTTGGTTTCAACATCGGCAGAGGCAGGTGTAATCAGAATTCACTGGGAAAATCGTGTTTAAATGGATTATATCCTTCTCTCTCTGTTTGTTCTGAATTAAGTTGCTGCTGCATAGGGCAAAGGAGAGAGAAGTCTGCTTTGCTGGGCAGAGTGTGTCTGTGGCAATCTGTAAGGTATATGCATTGCAGTGCCACTAATGCCCTGGGTCACCTCAAGTCACTTAGCTGGAGTAAATCACAAAGTGTGTAGAAAGAAGTGTTAAGGTGACTAATCACTCTCCCTTGCATAATGTATTAAAAATGTGGTTTACTACCTCTTGATAGTATTCTAGTATTTTTTGCTGGTTTTATTCCTATTGGACTTCCCCCTTGATTCCTTAATTTTCCGATAATACTACAAATACATGCCATGCTAAGAAAGATTTTGAACCTCACCTGTGCTGTACTGTTTCAGCAGACATTATTCAGCTTGTTCCAGCTTGCTGTGTGATAGCAGAGCCATAAATTCATGAACTAAACATAAAGCTTTTACAACTAAGAAATAATCAGAAAAGAAAATGAAGAGGTTTTGTCATTACCAATTTGGAATGAAATAATTAAAAATGGATCTATTTTGATGCTGCATTGTCTAAATATATGTCTTTTTTTTTGTTGGCAGTTGATGAAAACTGTGAATAAAATGTGCCCCAATATCACAAGAATTTACAATATTGGAAAAAGCAACCAAGGACTAAAGCTGTACGCTGTCGAGATTTCTGACAACCCAGGAGAACACGAAGTTGGTTAGGATTTAGTCTAACTAATTCTGTTGAAGGGTGTTGGGATTTGCCTTTTTTTTTCCCTCCTCTTTCTCTATATCTGCAGTAATTATCACTGATGGCGTTGTATTCACAGCAGCAAAGATTTCAAATGTATGTGGGAGGAACTTCAGCGCTGTATTTCTAAATTTGGACGAGGAGGGAAAGCACAAATAGAAGGCATTTTGAATGTGGGATTAAATTCTTTAATGATAATAAGTTTTATTCTTTACAATAACAAAATTAATTTTAGTACAGGGGAATGGATCTTAGTTGTGGGAATTCATGTAGATTTGGATAGAAATTTACCTTTTTTATGTGGGGTGAATGCATTGCAGGCAAGGTCAGGTCAAATCATCTTTCACTGGTGAGTGTTGGGGTACAATTTCCTACAGTGATATAATTCTTCAGAACAGAAACTCATTCAGTCTTTTGTCCTTCTGTGGAGAAAAATAAAGATCTCACTGTAAGAGCGCCTGGAGCAGTTGTTGGCATAAAGGTATCTTGTGCTTTGCCATGTCCATAAATACCCTGATATGTGTCCATCCTACCCAAGGAAGAGTGCTGTGATGTGCTCCTAAGACATCTCTCCACCTTGCCATAAGGAATGGAGCACAATAGGTGTAATCTCTCAGTGGACTTGTGGCTGATCTTAGACTGCGGTCTGAATCTCGGGTATTAACACCAGAATAATTAATCTAATCTGCCTGTCCACTTCTCTACATTTGAGAGTCTTGCAGAAAACATGCAAGGAGTGTATCATGGTCCAGACAAACTGGGAGGGTGGATCCAGACACAAGCCCTAGCTTGGCCCTTTAGGGGCTGGCCTATTGATGTTTGTAGGTGTTATTTGTACAAAAGACGACTAAATTATGGGGCTTTTTTTAATAGCTGGCACTATTCCTATTCATCCAGCATTTTGTAATTGAGTGCAAGTATTGTGGCATTCAGTATAACCTTGAAAAATATGTGAACCTGTTTTTTGATTAGCGAAGGAAAAGGAGTGCGTGAAGTCAGAGATCAGTTATGTACAGTTGCTGACGGTTATCTTTTAAGAGCCTTAACATCTGCCCCAAAGAACAGCTAGCAATGTGTTCTTCATGTTATTTTTAGACTATCAGAACTTTTAAAATCTACCCGTAACACGCTGAAATTGTGGGTATAATTAAAGATCTGTTTAATGGAAAATGGGTTTGGAGGTTTTATACAGTGGCTTTAGGTATCACTGGTACATAAGCCTGTTCTAAAATAGGAACAGAAAGTACTTGTTTCTCTAAAGTTCATTTTCATCTATCATTTGTTCAGTTAAGGTATTTCTCCAATTGTCCTTAAGTGAAATGTTGCTGATTGACATCAGTGCAATTTGGTTAGATGCTTGATTTGCTGCTCTGACTACACTTCTGTTCCATGTCTTTTCAACAGGTGAACCAGAATTTCGGTACATTGCAGGAGCACATGGGAATGAAGTCCTTGGACGTGAGCTAATCCTTTTGTTAATGCAGTTTATGTGCCAGGAGTACCTGGCTGGGAACCCACGCATTGTACATCTCATTGAGGATACCAGAATCCACCTCCTGCCTTCAGTCAACCCGGATGGATATGACAAGGCATATAAAGCGGTAATATGATTAAGAACATATCAAGGAATTATTTTGTTTCTATTAGATGAGTGAAACAGGCTGCTGTTGTCATTATTTTTTTTCAATGATCCTATTTTCCAAACAATCAAAAAAAAAAAAAAAACCCACATGAAAGCAAACATAAACCACCAAACCATTTTGCTCAGAAAAAAAAAAGCTGAAAGAAACTGTATTCTGTGTGACATTGGCTAACAGGAAGATGTGTATGGAAAGGAGGGAGGGTCACAAAGTCTGCCAGAACAAACCATACTGAAGTGTGTAGATCAATGGGAACACCATTATGGAAAATGGAAAATTCATGCAGTCTGTTTCTCATGAGAAACCAAGCTAAAGACATGAAAATTTGTGTTCCTCTGCAGCTGAAATTTAATAGTGCGTCTTTAAGGAGAGCTCAATGTGTTGGGCATCGTAATAATTCAGTCTGGAAGAAGACAGACAACAGGAGGAAAAATCGTAGGGACTGGTCAAATGCACTGGAAAATCTTCCAGGGCAGTCTGTAGAAGTCTGGAGTACAAAATCACACTTACAGCCATGGAAGGGAATATATGCCATCCCTATTGAAAAATCAATCTTAAATAGAAACCTTGAAAACAAACCAGAATATTTTGGGTAACCCCAAGTAATTTTTCATGGGTTTTACTTCACCTCATTCAAGGTTTCATACAAAAAGAACAAAAAAAAAAGCCAATTATTTGTTTCAGTTAATTAAAAAATTCATCCTTCCATTTGTCTGTATAGAATTAGCTCTGACATGTCCCCAAACACTTTGCTGAGGCGGTCACAGGTTGTCATAGCCTGAATGAACATTTATCTTTCTTCTTCCTTTTTTTTCTTTTTTTTTTTTTTTAAATTTAAGGGTTCAGAATTAGGGGGCTGGTCTTTAGGACGATGGACTCAGGACGGCATTGACATCAACAATAATTTTCCTGATTTAAACTCTTTGCTTTGGGAGTCAGAAGATCAGAAGAAAAGTAAAAGAAAAGTTCCAAACCATCACATCCCAATCCCCGACTGGTACCTGTCCGAAAATGCCACCGTGAGTAAGGCCAGAGAGGGGGGAACCCAAAGGCTGGGGCATGCTGAAAGAGCGAGCTTTATATTTCTTAAGAAATTAGTAATTTGTGGGTGAAGTTGCATACCTGATGTAAGCTACTTGTCCAGGCTTCCTTGTTAGTCAATGGGAGTAAAAACACACCACAAAAGTGCCGTTCACCCCTGTATTTTAGAGGCAGCCCTTGGGAAGGGAACTGCTTCCTGGAGGATCCTCTTTTCCCTCAGGTATTGTAAGAATCCAAAGGGCTCGATGGGCAGCAACAGGTAGAAAAACAGAAAGGCACTGCAGGGCTCAGCCCTGTGAATCAGACTTCTCCCTAGTTCCGCAATGCAGATGAACACTTTGCAAACTCAGTCACCATACAGATTTCTCCTGGGGTTTCGTTATTTGTTCCTATTTGAAATATATTCTTATCTGAAACAACACAGCAAATGCTGAGGCATATGCAAAACCAACGCAGCAGCTTATGCTAAAGTCATTTATTGGATTGTAGTGCCAAAAATTTAACTTATTTTTGCATGGCCTTTTAAACATAATGGCAACTATTTATAGTGGTTGAGATTCTCCCAGTTTGAAGGGAAGGCACATAACGGTGGCAGTTCCGTGGGCTTTAGATACTTTTGTGTTTAAAACAGTTTCAAAAACTCGTTTCAGCTGATGGCACACGGAGCATTGTCATGGTCTGGCATCTCTGATGGTTGCTGCTCTTGGCTTGACTCTCCATAGACGATCCTGCTGCATCAATTATTGACATTAAGGTTTTGTTAGGGTTTATGGGTTGCCAGTAACCTCCTGAGGACAGCTGGCAAGCACTGAAATTTAAAGAAGCCCTTCTCCTTGGCCACATTTCTTGTGCTGGCTACTCACACCACATTAAGAAACTCACAGCAGGACTCCTGCATCTGCTCTACCTTTGAAACAAGATTATTGAATTTCACAGGTTGCATCAAAGCTGCTGTTTCTTATTTTTTTTCCCCAGGTGGCCGTTGAGACACGGGCGATAATAGCATGGATGGAAAAAATCCCTTTTGTGCTGGGGGGCAATCTGCAGGGAGGAGAGCTGGTGGTGGCGTACCCCTATGATATGGTGCGATCTATGTGGAAAACCCAGGATTACACACCTACCCCAGATGACCACGTCTTTCGCTGGCTGGCATATTCCTACGCGTCCACGCACCGGCTGATGACAGATGCGAGAAGGAGAGCATGCCACACAGAGGATTTCCAAAAGGAGGATGGCACGGTTAATGGAGCCTCCTGGCATACCGTGGCTGGAAGTAAGTGTCTGTAGAAACTGCGATTAGCTTTACCTTGCTAGCTATGATGCCATCACTGGCTGCTGTACGTTGTGCCCTAAGAGGAACATTTCCCCTTCTGAAAGTCTATTCACTGCATTTCATCAAGTATCAGAGGACTGAAGGTGAGTGTGTCACTAATGGAGACATGGACGGTGGGATTGAGTGCACCCTCAGCCGGTTTGTCAACGACACCAAGCTGTGAGGTGCAGTGGACATGCTGGAGGGAAGGGAGGCCACCCAGAGGGACCTTGACAGGCTGCAGAGGTGGGCCCCTGCAAACCTCATGGGGTTCAACAAGGCCAAGTGCAAGGTCCTGTACCTGGGTCAAGGCAATCCCAAGAACAAATACCGGCTGGGCGGAGAAGGACTTGGGGGTGTTCATTGGTGAGGAGCTCACCATGACCCAGGAATGTCCGCTCACAGCCCAGAAAGCCAGTTGCATCCTGGGCTGCATCCAGAGCAGGTCGAGGGAGGGGATTCTGCCCCTC